CATATTTGTCAATGCTGTCGTAACTGATCAATACATTTACATGCCAACATTTAATGGTTCTCATGATGCATCGATGTTCGATTTAATTCAATCCCATACGACCAAGAATGTAATAGCTGTGCCAGCTGAGAAAGTTTGTTTCATGGGTGGCAGTGTTCGTTGTCTTAGTTGGCAAGTGAAAGGAGAATTGAAGAAAAATATTTTAAATTTGATTTGACGCGAACCAGAAGACATCATAGACTAGATAGTCTGCATTACTTAATTTGTTCCTTTCATTTGACATCTTCTTTGTATGTTTTTCTTTATAAGTGGAACGTAGTGCAAGAAAATATCAAATAAAAAAAGTTAAATCTATGCCGAAAATGGTGAACACGTAGGACAATGATGATACAAAGAAATATATCATCTACAGTAATGATCGACCACATCTACATTCAAGTTTGCATACAAAAAGCCTTTTCGCATGATTACATCCGTTTCTAATCAAAATTAAACAAAAATAAGATCAGGTTCGATATTAGCATTCTAAACTAAGTCACATAGGATTTCTTGAAATACTCCAAAAGGACGATTTGAAACTATTTTCAGGGTACATGATCATGTTCATTTTCACTAATGATAAGTACCATACAGTCTCATAATACTACACGATGACTCAAAACATACTCGTATTTTGTAAAAATGTTTCTCGTTTGACTCAAAAACCGGCAATGACCGATAATTTAAAGATGGGCTCTCGTATTCAATTATTGACATCAATCGAGCATGAACTCGATTTTTCTAATTATACATCTTTTGCTAAGGATGTTCTTATGGCACATTCTATATGAAGAAAGTCGTATGGAAAAGAATGGAGAATGTATATAATTCAATGAATGCGAATCAATTTTTTAGGTTATCTGATGGGAAAATTTTCCAACTAAAACTGATTAAAATATCAAAATTTGGTGAGCAAAATCAAAATCTAAAATCAAATTTTTCGCAGAGTATCATGACACGGAAAGCGATAAAAATTAGAATAATACCACAAGCTATTGTTATACTTTGCAGGCAAACACGACTCTATTTGATTTTACTGTTAATTTTGTTTCTACTTGAGATTAAAATCCACAAAAATGAATTACACACTGATTATAATAAACGGTAAAGTTAATTTGAACTAAATGAAGTGTTGGTTTTGCGGCATGATGCATTGGCCGACAGTCTTCAGTGTGTAGGTATTGTTTTAACCATCTCTGCACCGACACTCATAGCCAACTTGCCGTTTTATGCTACTAACGATTGTTCTCCAATTAAAAAAGTTTCCATTTCTATGTGAGAACAGTTGTCATCTGTCTTTTCGTCTACTTTATCCAACAACAGTCTCGAACACAATAACGGCGAACTGAAACCAAATAGACAGCCAACTGCATCCTCTTTACCAGTCCCATTATTGGCTATCGTTCGGCCATTTAGTTATTTATCGACAAATGAAAGCAAAAATGCAATTGCACCTGCATGTTGAAACAATCAGCTCGAAATTACCGACATGAGATCATCCAACAATACATCGAACCACGATTTGGGATCAATTAAGTAAAACATGTTCTTTGTGAATACCGCATGGCGTTTGTCGCTATTAACATCAGTACTTCGACTATAACTGGTTGATCATCGCTCCATAATCGTATTTGCGATCGTTTGAAACTCCATGAATACAAAACATGTACATGAAGTTCGTTTTCAATTGACCACTACAATGAACTTCAACTTTCACATTTTCGACATCTATTTCGTTTGTCAGATTTACAATGTGCAAATCGTTACTGATATGCCCCCAAACAACGACTACAATCACTCGTGTATAAATGATGAGGCAGATTGCAGTAGTTTGTCGACCGCTCGTTTTGCTTCGATCCAACACTGTGCACATGGCACCATGATTAATCTTCTCCGTTTTTTACTTTGTTCTAGACTTTCCCTCGGTTCACCTTTAGTTTTGGTCTTTAGTGAAACTTACATACATCTTCGAAGAAAATAGTGAGCGAAAGTTTAACGTCGAAGTGTTTTTACAATCGTTGGACATGTTTGCATAGCAACCACAGGAATAAATCAATTATTTAATACTGCTGTCGCTCGTAGTTACGCAGATAAAAATAAGAGGTTTGGATATTGAACAACATTAGTTGAAATTCTAAGACCAAAGAAAGAAACCAACAAAGGAAAAAGCGTAGAATTAAGGTACTGCTATGTGCACTAATAATAGTGAGGGAATGCTTTCTGTATGAAAACGGATTTATTGACATGTAATTTTAAGATCAGAAATATATTTGAATAATTGTTTTGAGAATTTTTGCGTGAATTCATTCACGTCAAAGGAGAGTGTAATATGATTTTAAGTTGTCTCTACTTGTTTAAATTAACGAAGGTGATTAGATATATTTTTGTACTATTTCGATAAAGAAGATGGTGTGATAATTTATATACATATCGTGTTGAGTAATCAATGAGTGCCTTTGACCAATAGAAAGAAAAATCAATTAATATTGTCATTTAGATTTTCGTTTATAGATAAATTGAAAATAATTAGTAATATTTCGTATTAAAGTCACAACATGCTGCTTTTAGTGAGCATGTTTGATTAGTTTTTTGATTAGTCAGAATTTGTTTCAATAGGAGATATAGTATAATATATATGTCATTTATTAACTATTAATGTGTTGTGTTTCCATATGATTTTGTTTAAAAACGTGATCATGATTATTTGTGACAATGTTAAATGCTTAATGAAGAAATTCATGTTATTGTATTAATAAATGTATTCAATTTTGTTGAACAATATCTGAATTGACTTCATATCCGATCTTTGATTATTATGATCTAGAAAATTAATTATGATTAATAGACAAATTGGGCATTGAGCATATGCTTGACAATAAAAATTAAAATATTTCTAGATTGACAAAATATTAAATATGGCAGATAAGTTTCTATTAGATTGTCATTTACAAGTTCAAATATATTGGAAATAGTTAAGTTTTATAGCATGAATTTCTTAGAAATAAAAAATACTGACATTGTGTCATATTGATTTGTTTAAAATATTTATTTAAAATAAGCTATTTATTATTATTATTATTATTATTATGAAACAATGATTTAACATAGTTAAAGAAGCGAATTCAGTTTTTTTTTCTTCTATTGAAATACTTTGTTATTTCGATTTTTTCTCTTTTTTCTTATTGTAGCTAATACTTCAGCATCTATCTGTAGCTGTAACAATTCATAAGAAATATCATTGTAATTATCTAGAATTCACCTATTTCGAATGTTATCATTTCTTTTCGTCATTTCATAAAAACAAAAATGTTGCTATTTGATGAAAATGAAAATAGATTCTTTATATTATAAACTAATTCGTGTTTTATTTAATTTTACATATTAAAAAGCCCATACAAATTTTCTTATATCGAAAATAATTTTAAATAACCATTTTGATATTGTATGAGTAATGCTAATCACTATTAATAAGCAAAATAATCTTTTATTGTGTAAATCTTTGATTATGTCTCTTCACTTGTTCCAGTTTTAAAGTGTAATTTATTGCATAAAAAAAAATGCATTAAATCATCTGCTAGTTTATATGCAATGTGTAAGTTCCACATTTCAGTTGCTAAAGGGCAGCGCTAACAATTGTTTTTTTATTTCGTTTCCTTTTTCTGTTCATTTTCCTTTCTGTTATTCAATCATTTCATGTTCAACTGTGATTACATCATATTTTTTTAGGAGAAATATGTTAGAATTAATCTTGTCTCTCGTTGCAACACACTTGATTGTACCTGGTTTTTTTCTGTTCTTCGTATTTTTATTTTCAGCTACTCATTAATTTCGCCTTTTTTCGTTCTCTCTTGTATCTATATTCTTTGCTTCTTCAAGCATATATTTATTAATTAGATGGTAATATTTTGATGGGGTTTACTTTGGAGTAAGGTTTTTATTTTATTACGACTATTGACGTATACAATAGCATGGTAAAAGAGAAAAGAAAGAAGAAAAACAATATAACATCAAAGAATAAAAATAAGGAAATTTGTGAAGGGGGGGGGGCGATATACTGACTTGGTTCTTCCATACAAAATGAACGACAAGGAATCTCTAAAACATCAATCATTAAAGATATTAAGGTGAAAGAAGAAAATAATGTTATTAGAGAAAACTTTGGAAGAACTCGCGCACTAATCTAGTCTATTTTCCTATTAAGAATGATATTTCATGAATTGGGGTCAGAAGATTACAAGTGGTTCATGCATATCAATCATTTTTTCACTTTGGCTAATTTATAGGAACGATCTAAAGTTAAATTTCGTACAGCATTATTTCTTTTTCTTATCCATAAAGACATCCCAGTAGTTTAATACAGTTGACTACGACATTCTCGAAGATGCATTCAGTTTTGATATTCTTGTAGACGAATAAACATTTTGGACTAGAGCAAAAGTGTATATGCAGATTCACGAATACAGAGAACATTCTTCGACACTATGCTTGTTTACTTTTTGTCAGGTTTTGATTTTGGGGAGAAAAGACAATTTATTCATACTCCGAGCATTTCATATGGGTATCATTAATGTACTTTTTCATGACATATTTCGAGTGTTTCATGTCATCATCATTAAAGTACTTTTTCATGACATACTCCGAGCAATTTAGTGTAGGAAGGATACCGTGCATTTTCTTCTATCAAATAGAAAAACAAGAAAAAAATGTCATATAAGTTGTATTGCAGTGTTTGCTCCTGACAAAAACATCGTACATAATGTTATCGCTACGTACAAACACCCACAACTACTTTCATTGCACGATTCTGTTTCATTTTCTTTTCATTAAAACGCTAAATTATGTTTCAACGCTGGAACGAAAACATTCCTTTTTTTTTCTTTGACCTTCAAAGTATAATTTGTTAATTATATATAAGAAGAGAAACTAGACACTGTTTCATATTGAGAATTTTGTCACCAAACATGATTGTCTTTATCGTTACAATTCTGTTTCTCTTTGGACTTCAATCTGTTGGAAGCACAGCGAGCAATTCCTTATCTGACTGCAATGTAGTAGCTGCCAAATTTAGCAATACTTGCAATGGAGCTGCCGTTAGCAATATCGTTGCCACAACGGGTACCAATGTGTCGTGTAGCTCAGGTTTCACTAGTACAACATGTCCCGGTCAAATGTACGGTAGTACATGCGTATTTCAACATAAACTATGTGTTACTTGCTCTGGCAGTTCAACTATTCGTATTCGTGTTCAGTCAAATGGGTTGCCACGTTTTTGTCCAAATGTACCTGTGACTATGAGTGAACTAAATGTTGACTTTGCAGTGAATTTCAATCCGAATGTAGACGTCAATTCTCCTGTTTACAATCCAACAACTGTATCCCAACTCAGCTCAATCGTTTGCAACATCAATAGTCAAACAACTGTGCCATCCGCATCGAATTATGTACCTTCAAGCACTTCCGGTTCTTTCAACACACTCGCTGGTATCAGTGTTGATGGTGTGACACTTCTAAATGTAAACAGTGCCAATAATGTCGATCCGTTTTATCCAGCTGGGAGCTTTGTACCAGAGTCAGTCGATTCTTGTTTAGGACATCCAAATCCATCAAACAATGGCTACCATTATCATATTGCATCTGGGTGTGCTCTGAATCCACCTACTGGGAAGATTGCATCCTGCAAATCTGCTCCTGCTTGTAATGCAAGTATTGCTGCCTACACGATATCAACATTTTCGTCGTATCGTACTTTGACCGTGATTGGAATAGCCAAAGATGGACATGTTATCTATGGACCATACAATTCGCAAGGCGTTGAAGTAAGAATATGATTGATATAGATATGCATGTTCATAAATATAGAGTTTTCGTCGAGTTCCACAGAAAAATTATTTAGTTGATTCTATTCTATTATGAGCTTCCTTGTGAAAAGAGAATCGCACAGAAAATTCGTAAAGTGTCTTTTAAATATCTTGTGAAATTTTTTGTATTAGAAAGATAGTCGATATTATGTCTTGTAATGAAATTGTAATGTCACTACTATGAGTATTGTGCAGTTATATAGACTTAAAATCGAGTCTATGAGGATAACAGTTGATTGAGTATCAGTTCGAAATCTGTGAAAAGTCAGTTGCAACCAATTGACATTTTGAGCATAGTTAGATAGATGTGATTAAAGATTTGTAGATGCGATCACGGTCATTACTATAGGTTATGCGGCTAAATGAGAGTATGAATGAACAGAAGATTCACACATATGGGCGTGCATGCATCGATAGCCATTCACCCATCCTCAAAATAGTAATACCTATACATACATAATTAAAGATTATCCTCCATTTCGAAGTAGTCAAGACAAAACAGAAAAATCTGGACAAAATTGAAAGTAATTTTTTCCTACCACACGTTTGATATGCATACATAAGTTGTGAAAGCAAAAATGATGTACTTCACTAAAAACTCGTAGCACTATTACGTCAGAAGTTCATAATACGACAATTAATGTCTTCCGAATTTTATAGGTAACAAGTGGTTTTGATATTTGCAATGGTATGTTTTATGATTCAATTGGGAATTACGCCTATTTTGCTACGCGAACATATCCCTATATAACGGGTTGTTTTGGTCCTGGTAATTATCCAAGTGTCTTTCCAAATTGTACAACAAATAAAGCTACGGCATATACAAAATCCATTTATGCTCTTAATCAAACTAGAACGACAAAGATCGCCATCTCCACCGACACAATACAATCGAATAGTCAAAGAATGCCTTTGGATAACATTATGATTGCTCTGTTGATTATTGTTGGCATGTTTTGCAGAAATTGATCTTTACTACAATAATGAATTGAATAGAGCGAATTTCATATGTCTCTCATACTATATGACATCTATCATATTTCTTTTCCTTCATTTTTTTATCATCAACAGACAACATTTTGTACAAATAAAATATTACAGTATCAATAGATTTTTTTATCATAAAGAAGTCTTTCATGACTTTCAATCCATGATTTTAGCAATAACAAAATTCATTTGAATCATGCACCAATGGATTCTTCAATACAGTATAGAAGAGCAGATTTATAATAATAACATCAACATAACAGTCAATTAAGGTCTTTTATATTAATTAAATCGACTCTATTTAAAAAAGCTAAAGGAGATTATAGATCAAAGACAATCTGATTGGATTTTATTATCACACATCATAACAAACAACTCTTATTGAAATTTCATAATTATGATATTTGTTGAAATATGATCAAATATCAAAAGAAAAATATACCAATCGTTGTAAAGGAATCATAAACTATATAGAACTAAATAGCATGAATGTTCACAATTAATTAACTAGAGCAATAGCATATAATCATTCAATAGTAGATAAAATACAGAAAGGAATGTTATTTATTTCTAAGAAACTATTTGATGAATGCAATTATGATGCTAGATAGCAAAATATCACTTGAACGAACGTAGTAAATAGTGAAGAACAAATCATCAAAAATAAAATAGGAAAAACATATAATCGTGTATATGTATAAAATCACTCATTATGATTTGCTCTCTAATGTAATAAGTTTTGTGAAATAGTTTTTGTTTCAATTCTTATTCGTTCTTTAGCACTTTTCTTCAAACGCCTTAAGTCAATTAACTTCAGCATGGATAAATCGCTATTACTACTAAAGATATCATATGGTTGAGAATGAAACTAACCTCCGATGCAAAAGTATCCGTACAAATGTCAAAGTCTATTGTGTTCGAACAGAAAGTGCTGGAAGCCTAATTTATTCACTGATGGATAGAGCACAGCTTGTTCTTTAAAACGCATATTGACATTATAATTGAAGATGAAGTTTACGATATCAAATCTCAAGTTTTTTCCAAATACTGAAATTGACTTGTTACTAAGGTAAATTATTTCGTCCTTTTTCTTGTTTTAGCTTGCATTATGTTGACTAAAATATAAGATAATGGGTTCAAACTTGACAAGAGATGTCTGCGGACTCTAGGCTTTCTGAAAATCGGTTTTCAGTTTTTCTGTGTATGCAGAATGTCCAGCAATCAGTATCAAAAGCACAGTCAGTAGATTCTGCGATTTTGACGAAAGTTCTAACGATGGACAAGAATAACATTCTTTCAAAGTGATGTAAAATATACAGTACTTCGATCTCTACAAGAAGATGTAAAATACAGTATAAAAAGTCGCTGCATGGAGTTCATAAATGGTACAATATAAAATACGTACAAAATAGAACTTGGCGTCAATTTCGACCAAACTAGAAACTTGTTAATAACCCACGAGGGCTACATCCCATTTGAGTCAAAACATTTTTCCAATCAAAGCTCTATGAATGCTCAAAATATGTAGCGCATTTCAAAGCATTCAAACGAATACATGTAGCCAAGATATGAAAAATTTCCAAATTTTACCTTGGTAACAAGGCAATTTCAATGTTTGAAAAAAACTTGAGATTTTATATCATAAACTACATCTTCAATTATAATCCCAATATGCGTTTTAAAGCACAAGCTGTGCTCTATCCATCAGTGAAGAAATTAGGCTTCTAGCACTCTCTGTTCGAACACAATAGGCTTTGACATTTGTACGGATAATTTTTGCATCGAAGGTTAATTAAAAGGGAAAATATGCAACTTTCTGAATTCCAAATAGCTGTTTGATGCTAAGTCCAAGAAATGAGCAAATCTCGATGGCTAGTTTATCCAACGAAGCAGCATTCGAACCATTGTCTTTCCGAATTGTGAAACGTAATTGTGCAAACTAGACAAATACAATGAAACTACTACACGAAATCTCATTAGTACGCATATCTCTTATTTTCGCAAGTGCTAAAATCTGAAAACATATTGGTTAATGGTTCTTCATCCTTATCAGAATTCGATATTACTCAGAAATACTTATATTAGTACATCAGTGAAAAATGAGAATAAGTTCTTCGTTCAACTGCAATATCTTACACTAATTGGGATTTATCAAATATATGATCATTTCAAAAAGGTATAACCATTAAAATAGACAAATAGTGTTGATTGAATGCCGATTCGTGTGATCGTAGGCTGAAAAAGACAACAAAATGTAGTGTGAGTAAAACTATGAAAAGTATTTGTTCTTTTTTTTTCATATTTTGATCAATTGATAAAATCATAATGTTCATATCATACAATATCATAGATTTTATTTTGAACTGTTTTGTATTAGCATATATGTTCTCATCTACATATAAACATTGGAACACAGTTAATCTTCAAAATGAATTTCTTTCGAAATATATAGTGATGTATGATTGAAATACAGCTACCTATTTGTGTTGAAATAACTTTGACTTGTACGTAATTTTGCTATGGAGGCGTTAGAACGAGATGTATTAACCACTGATTCACTTCCTTCATTTTGTCGAGAAAGTAAGAGTAAGAGCAAAGAGTATATTGAAGCTATCGGGATATATTTTAGTCTTTCGTAAGAGTCTCATCAGATGACACGAATAGGTCTGCAGCGTTTTTCATTTACATTAAACAAGACAACGTTGAAAATCAGCATTAATAAAAGGAAATTCAACAACTCTGATCAATCGTACGCCATCCGGTCAATGCTGAAAAATGTTTGACCTAAAATAAATTGTTGAAAGTCGATGCAAGATATTCATGACTTTAAGTGTTTCAAGTGATAACAATGAGATTGTCATGGTGCTCGGGTGCATAAGTGCTACATAAAAAGTTAATATTCTTGTCTTTATACTTTTCAGATTCTATTTTTTTGTTGAAAAATCCGTTAAGATTCTTTTTTTATATATTTAATGTAAAGCTCTTATCTGATCTTCAAACTCTTGCAAGTAAAACAAAAAAAACGGGAAATAAAATCTTGGTCAGTAGGAGAAGATATCTATATAAACTAGAAAGAATTTTGTAGCTCTTGGAAATTAAATCTGCTTCATTTTCATCATAAAATAGAACTATTTTTTAGATAATCTATGAAGGTTCTTGCGTTCTGTTTTCACACTTAGCATGGATCTATTATAATATCGTTTTGACTATTATTTTATTATTGAAGTTTTCACAGACATTGTGAGCATAAAAAAACATTAAAAAAAATAATTATCTAACTTTCAATTCTGGCAAGAGTCTTTTTATCTTTGGATTATCAATAGAAAGAATATTAATTGGACTTGAAGAAGAAAAAAATCCTATGTGATACATCAAGACAAAAAAGAATCTGGCGAGAATATCAATTTATGACTATTCATGGATACGAATAAAAACGGAATCAATTCATTTTCCGTCAACGGTGTGATAGTACTCGTTCGTATAACCTTGGTACATGCGAACGTTGGAATTATTTTTAATTAAAAATACTAGATCAACTACAGACACAAACTATCCATATGGAAAAATTATCGTCTAAACAAAATATTGATTTGCACCATTATTATAATACCTGCTGTAAACGAAAGTAACCAAATCAGATATATTTCGCATAATTCAAGTAGTAAGTTATTCAGAACGCATTTATTTCAAATAGCTGAATTTTTTCTTTCAATTTGAATAGAGAATTTAAGTTGTGCATATAAAGAAAAAAATCAAGAACAATTTCATGGGTATATTTTACAGAGAAGCTTATTGTTCACATTTTTTAAAATTCTAATTCGTTCTGCAATTGGCTATCAGATAAATACTCATTCGAAGATAAAAGTGATTCTCACACCCTTAACAGTTAATTACAAGAGAGCCTATCTGACAAAGTACAAAATAAGACACAAGTTTGACTGATCAGGAAGAAACTTGTATGAGTGACTATTAACTCTGTGTTCTACAAACGCTCAAATTTTTACGTTTAACTATGCTTGTTTTCTAATTAAGCCAACATAACTCCATGACGTGCCTTTGTCCTTGAACAGAATATATAACATGATTATCTAAGATACATAAACTTTTATTAAATAAATAAAATTAGTGTTTTTCAACGTAATGTTGACCGATCATTATGAACTTTCAAGACTAAATTTTTCTGTTTTTTATTTGAAAATAATTAGCAATACTTTTTAGTATGATCTCAGCAGTTTTATTTGACCAACAGATGGTATTACCTTAGTTTTATGATAGCTTATTCTTTTAATAATTGTTCTAATTTTTGTGTTATTCTTGTATCGATATTTCATCATTTGTTGCAGATATCAATGGAGTGGATGATTTAAGACTTCGTTTTGGATGAAGGATTGACCAGGTAAAATGAGCCAAAATAAGAGGCGTTATTTGGAAAACATAGAACCATACTTCATGGCTATTGATCTTGTCATAATAAGCCGATATCGATTGGATCAGGTTAAAGATAGCAACAACTACACAGAGCACACTAGAGACAATAATCAAAATAAAGGCTCGCTTAGTCATATCTTTCACTGTTTTACTCCAATACCATATGGCATAGAAGAAAAGAGTCACTGCAAGTAAGATTAATGCGGATAATTTTCGAAAAAGAAAGCTTGAATTAATATGATCAGGATTGAATGATAACATATTGGCCGGTGCCAACAGAAGGCCGGACGTGATAACACATAGAACGACACCAACAAGAATACCACGCGATAGAGGCGATTTTTCACAATGCATTTGCATAACAAAAATGTAATTGCTAACAATAATCATACGTTGACCGGTAGCAAAAAGACTATTAACAATAATGAAAATATTTTTGGAATGTTGTTGATCTGCAGGAACTGCTGCACGAACGATCAAATCAATGAAAATAGCCATATGTGAAATCAGAAGAAGAAAACATAGACGAGGTGGTCGAAAACGAACTTGCCACGATTGAATAAACCAAGCAATAAGTGAAATGCTGCACACGGCAGCAATACAACCTGCGACAACTTTATTTGGCACATATGTTGGATAGGGATACGGTAATAAATCGAGCATAGTATCAATTTTTAATATAATATATCGTACAACGGGATCAACTAAATTGTTTCAAACTGCACCGAGATAATAAACTAATTTTTCTATCTCGAAGATTGCGTTCTAAATAAATTGGACGAACCAGATAAACGTGACATATGATGTTGTTTCAAACTCTTTTTTCTTTCTTTTATTTACTTCAATATAGCCAGGTATCTTATACCAAAACGCAGTAGTATTAGTTAAGGTATGTTATCATCATTAAGATTGTCACTGTGAAAAAGAACAAGATATGTAATAATGAAAAAAACAAAGCAAACAATCTTGTTGCATCTGTTGCGTTTTAGCAATGAGTAGAAGTAAAAGTTACAACACTCTTTTTTCCAATCATCAGATTATTTCATTCTTCTAACTCTTTTTATGTTTATATTTTCATGAAATGATTTACAATAAATAGGTGATTATTGGTCAATATCCTTTGATTTTACAAATATTTTAGAGCAAAAAAAACATGAATGTGAAATAATCACTATGTAATATANTAGATGTCTTTAGGTGTGACGTTAGATTGGAAATGAAACCCTCTTTAGTTAAGGAAATCTTTATTTTTGTGGAAATTTAGTAGGGGGTCTTATAATTATGAGACACCCTGTATAATCGAAAATAAACCAACATAGGTTTTGACTTAGTGATGAACGGAACTAATTGTTGTTGATCAGGATTCTGTAAGAAAAAAATTCTTGTTTCTGATTTCATGCTTACTAATACATTTACTAGCGAAAAACGCGATATCATTTTTTAACAGTGTCAATGCCATTGATCCACATGACTTCTAATATCCTTCCTCTTAGCGATTCATTATTTTCTTTAACTCACTAATACTTTGTCTATTCTGCACACTTATGTGTTCGACAACTCAGTTGTTTACGAAAAAAAAAAAAAAGAATTAATTTTATTATCGAAATTGGAATAGCAAATATTGAAGTGATCGTTACTCAATAGCTTTCGCTTAAATTTTTAAAATATATGAATCGTGAGAATATGACATTTGATGCAAGTCTTATATGACCATAAAAGATATAATTTCCAATGAAAAGTATTCCTAGTTTAGATATCGGAACCATCTTGTCCATATCTATGCTGACTACATTGCCATCATAAGATATGCTACTTCATTTTCAAGTTAAAGTTGGTATGTGAAGGATGTTTCAATTATCATTCTTGATTTCTCGTTCAACTTGACTTTTGTATCTTAAAGAGATCATTCCAAAGAGAAAAAAAACAAGAAAATCAAATTGAACCATAGAAGCAACTACAGTGTTGAAAACATCGAATATTAATTTAATCTAGCTGATTAATAATCTTTAGGGGAAGAAAGTTAACGTGACCAGAGAGTGAAAAATTTCTAAGCTCGATTGTTCATTAGAGAAGTCTATTTTACGATATTAATGATTTTTTTATAAAGTTTTATAGAAAATTGTCGGACTCAAGAAATTTGATTTTATGAGTAGATATAAGAAAACCAATAGAATACCGACTCTAAATACAGCCTAGAATCGAGAGGAAATTGAGGTCATGTTTTTGTCATTATGACCCCACTACCAAATAGAAGACAGCATTCGACAATTTTGAGTCTATGATAATTTTTGATCTATTCATCAAGATCTATCTGCCCTGAAAATTTTCTCATGAGCTATTCTCTAGGAGTCTCCGAAAATAGGCGATGCTTAAATTAATATTCTATATTATCAACATTGTAGTTTCTTCTATAGTTCATTTAGATTTGCTCCGTATCTCCGTAGAAATGATTTTATTATGATATAAAAATAAGGTGAAGTGTGAAATAAAGATTCATTACCGATTACATTCTCTATATATTTATTTAAACTTAAATTTATCTGAACTTTAATTGCTTCGAATCAATGATTAGAAAATTGATTTTAAAAAATAATTTAAAGTGATCACATTTTGACTTAAACGATCATAGTCTTAAAATGAGATTTAGATATAACTAAAGATTGAAACTGTACAGTGATTGACTAGGTCATAAAAAAAAGAGACTCGTTTGTGTTTTAAGTTCAATTAAAGTAGATATCTTTCTTTAGCTTTTAAATGACATGTGTGCTTATTTCTTTTTAAATTCAAAAATTTTTTAAAACTAATCAAAAAACAAACCATTTTTCTTTAGACTTGCAAGATATTCTTGTTGTTGAATTTGCATAGGTGTTTGATGCTCTTGTAATAGTTTTAATATATTTATTAAATATTCCGTATTTTTTACAACAAGTTTGAATTGTTCATAAGTTGTTTCTAATAAATCTCTTAAACAATCAGTATTATTAAGAATTAAATTTTGATTTGAATGATTTAATACAATTAAATTATTATCAATAATATGCTGTGTTGTACGTAAAACAATACGATATAATTGTTCATGAAATTGTTTTTGTATGAAATCAAGTGTTTCATTTAAATTCGATAAAATTGATAAAGATTGTAATAAAACATCTAAATATATATTTGATGGTTGATTACGTATATCAACTAACATATATTTATCTGGTATAATTGCTAATGAATGAGATTCAAATGATAATTTTCCTTCTTCAAATTCTTGATCAAGTTGTTTTCTTAATAAACGATTTTCTCTTACATGCGATAAAGAACTTTGATCATTTTTACTTAATGCTGTTGATAGATTTTTATTTCCAAGTACATCTCGTGATGATTTATCAAATAATTGATAAATTAATTCAAAACGTAATTGATCTTCTAATGTTAAACGTTCTTCTTTGATCTGTAAATCAATATGAGATAATGCACTAATTAAACGTAGTTCTTGATATTCTTTTGCTTTTAATAAAAGTAATGATGCATGAATATATAAACGTTTACTTAAATAAAATTGTAAACGTGACGGAACGTATTTTAATTCATTTACATTTGAATACATACGATCTAAAGTATTTTGTTCTAATGTTGATAACCATAATTTGCGAATATCTTGTCGTTTTAATAATAATAAATTTTTACATTCACGTAGAGATTTACGAACATTTTCTACACGATTTTTTGATTGTTCGATACTACTATATATACCAGAAAAATTTGTTATTAATTCTGTTAAATCTGCTGTCGAAGCTTTTATGCAACGTTCAATGGCAGTATTTGAACGTTGAAAACGGTCTTGAACAAAAGAAAATCGTTGTTCACGAGCCTATATTTTTAAATAAATTATGTAAAAGATAAGGAAATGACAAAAAAAATGACACCTCAATATTTGTATTGAAATTTAAATCTCGAAGTATTTTCATTAATATAAATGTTGTTGATTGACGCTCCATCTTTAATTTATTTTACCGGTATAAAACAAACAAGAATACTTTAGAAATAAGTAAATGCACCTTCAAATTAAATCAATCGTATCAACAAACAAGTGATCAATCAATTCTATTTCTATTGGTCAATTTTTTATCCAATAATCTAGTCAATTTGATCCTCCATTTTAGAAAGAAATAATTTGTACTATTTCAAATTATTTTCATGATGTTGAATGCTAAACGTTACTGTCAATTTTAGTAGTAAAAAATGTAGTAATTGCAAGCAAAATCTACATCATACATATCGATTCTGATATACACTATGTTCTATACATCGTTCAGAACAAAAAGATATTGATTTTCTTGCTTGATTTTAATTTCATATAAGTGTAATAATGATATAATGTTTTATTATTTCGAATGATATTCGAAATCAACGAAGTAACAGAGAAATGCTGTTTAAAGAAGAGGCTGAGAAGAAATAAAGCTATTCATAACTGAAAAGTTTTATGGTTATTTTAATTTATTGAAATAAAATTAGAACAGATGCTGTTCAAATCAAGAAAGACTAATTTTTCTTTATAAATATATGGAATAATAACATGATTTAAACATGGTTGAGTCATTGTACAACGTAATTATGTTTTTATTTGATTCATAATGCTAAAGGATTGTTCAGCGATAGATATTGCTACATGAACTGTCANTAACTTTTCATTTTTATTCAAATTCGTGGTGTTCTTTAATTTGAACCCATTTGGTATTAGGTTATGTTGTTTGCATTGTACAAGAAATGCAATATTTTGTTTTTCTATTGTTCTTTTCTTGTATAATTTTTCCAAATGGTGAGCAATGATGTAAGTTCTCTCTCCGTAGAGGTTTTTAAATTCTTGTTTTGTTAAGAAGGTTGAGATAATTGACATTATTTTATTCTCTTCTTTAATTTAATTTAATTCTTAATTTTTAAATTTAAAATTTAAAATTTAAAGGAGGAGTGGCGGTAAGGCCATTTTTCGGCCCAAAAAATTTTCAAGAAATAAACACAGGAGGATAACAAGCTAGTTATGTACTACAAATCTAGTGGGGTCCGGTTGCTTCAAATGACTATAGGGTTTTTGTCCCCTGTACCCCCCCCCCACAGCATTATGAAAAATTTTTTTTTTGAATTCTTTCTTTCTAACTACCCAAGTTTATCAAGTTAGCCATGCTGATCACAAATATTGCTGTTTCAAAATTTAAGAATGTAGTTCTCAAAAATAAATTGATTATTACCTTCATCGAGATTTTACCTTACACACTGGATTTTCGGTCCTCCTCTTCCACAAAGTATGCTATAAAATTCAAGAAAAAATGTCTGTAATACGTAAAATTAACCGCTCTATCTAAACTAGGTAAAAAAGAGTTGATTTATGATACTTAATTCTTCATCATAGCGAAATACGAGCAGAAAAATGGTAAACTTAACATAGACACTCCTTTTCTTCAATACTTATAGTATACTGAACAGTTTTGAACTAATGTAAGACTATGTTATTTTGATGCAGTTTTTCACGCTCTATCAAAATATGATATCAAATTTTAGAAAAAAGATTGGCATCAAGTCGAAAAATGCAATATACGAACTAAAAATAGCTTATTTTTCTTTTCGTTTTTTAAATAGTTTTTTAATAAACATTAATAGATCATTTTTCTCTTCGAATATTAACAGCGATGACAACTAGCAGCTAAGAATTGTAGATAGAGTAAATTAGTGCAAAATTTGACGTTAACAATAGCCATATACAACAGTAGAAATATAAGAAAAGAAAGAAAACAAATATAGCCAATCGTTGAATAGAACGAAATAAACATACAGAAACGAGAGAAAATATCGATAACCAATAAATTCATAGACCGAAAGGAACTATACATATACGCCTATTTTACAGAACGAAGCACACGTAGCACATACATTAACTAAATAGAAAGTGTAAAAATATTATATTTTACCAAACATATTTCTTTAACTAAACATTCAATTCATTGACTATTTTTCTTGAAATCTTTTCTCTAACTACAGATTCAATATCTTGACTATTTTTTTTTCTTGAACTATATTCTCTAACTATATATTCAATATCTTTACTATTTTTTCTTCTTGAAATACTTTCTCTAACTATATACTCAATACTTTGACTATTTTTTCTTCTTGAAATATTTTCTCTTACTATATAGTCAATATCTTTACTATTTTTTGTCTTAAACTCATTGCTGTGGAACTGCAGTTGTCAGTGAACATCAATTGTTCTAAAAGATGCATATTTTGTGGCAAAGATTTCAAAAAAGAATAACGTACTCATTTAATCGATTAAATTTCTTTTGTGCGTGTTTTGGATATGTAGTAAGTTCGACCGATGATGAAGTAATGATAGGTGTTATGAAATTTAAAAGTAGTATGTAGATATAAGATATAAATTTTAGTTTTTTTTTATATTTTTTTTTGTGGAAAAAACATTCATGGGTTATTTAGCATCATTCTTTATGTTAAATATCGATGAAGAATATAGATATTAATGAAAAAAGAAAGTATGTTATTTCCTTAAGTTCGTTTATTAAAAAAAATAAAAAAACACACTCTGTTAAGAGCAGACAAGAAACTAGTTCAAAGCTATAATCTATTAAGAACAAAAAATACATCAGTTCATAAGTATAATCTATTAAGAAGAAAAAAGCAACTTGTTGAATAGTTCAATCCACTAAGAACAAAGCCAAATATTCGAAGATTCATTAGATCTAAAACAAAAAAAAACTATACTAACATGTATAATGCTTGTGAATCTTCCTCTTCACTATCATCATCTGAAAGATCTGAGCAATCACGAGCATCATCAAGTATATCCAAATATGAGTTGGAACGTTGTCGTAAATGTTTCGGCATGTAGCGAGCTAAAGCTAAGTACCAAAGTACTGATGCTATATGTGAGCAACATCCTATTATTCTTCCGCCTGACAAGCATTCGCAATACCACCCTTCTATTTTTGCTGTACTATATTGAATGTAAAGATTGTAAGTAACAGCTGCTCTATGTCTTGATTGTATTCTGGCTCTAAGGATATCTGTTCTCTGTTTAGCTATCTGAACAGTAAACGATCCATCCTTCGATAGATGCTCCATCGTATACCTTTTTGCCTGTTTTAGTTGAAACCAACCTAAAGTGATGTCATTAAGCTGCTCAAGACTTAAAATAGGAAAGTCGTATACAGCATTATTAGCATCAATTTGTGTCCATTTCAAGTTTGACTTCCTTTCGTTGTTCAAACTATTAATGTACTCTTTTAATTTGTTGCTTTCACTCATCAGGCTTAGCATGATGTCTGCCACTTTATTGTCGTTTGCTACATCTCGAACTAAGAGAGGTCTATATGCATTTATTAATGCACAAATAATTGAAAATAGATCACCCACAATTGGTAGCATAGAATTAGGTACAACATGATCAAAAAAACGCCATGTTTTTATTCTGCCGTTTGCTGACTCAACTACCCAACGTATCTTTGTCACAAATAGCGTTAGGTTGGCTTCAGTTGTAGTTAGTTGTTTCTCAGCTTTTTTCAAGAAGGCAGGCATGTACGTTTCATATCCTAAACGACTTAAAAGTGGCAGACAATCCCGGAAACCTCTATCAACAATTAGAACATCATGTGGTTCTAGCCAATCCGTGACACCCTCTCGATTATTCAACATAATATGTTTTGTCATCGAGGCGTCATTATTTTTATAATCAGCCATGTATGGCCCAATAGCCGAGATAATATATCCATCAGTGGATACAATCATCATTGGCTTTACCAAAGGCCGACCTTTATGAATGGAAAACGTTCGTCTTTGTACGATGTTATTTGCTGACTTTTGGACATAAATATATGTACCATCAAGTATTAGAATTGCCTTATCATCTCCAGGACTTGTGAACAGTCGCTTTGCCAATGGACGAGTGTGCTCATCAATCACATCTCTTCTGGATATGTGCTCGAAACCTATATGGCTAGGAACAAAATGATCCATAAGAGACACCCGAGCACTCTCTAGTATACGGCTGACAGCTTTCACATCTGGTAATGAAAAAAGTGTGGCAAGTGCTGAATTACTTAATCCTAAACGCAACTTTACAAGTAAGCAACCTATTGCCTGTTTTGCTGAACGCAATTGTGTACGGCGAAGACTGCTAGAAGGAATTCTAGAACAAAGATCACGAAAGTTATCTCTCGTAATACCTGTAAGAATGAAATGCTGTTCATCTGTGAGACGATCAGAAACATCAAAATCGATTGCTGATCGTTGATTAGCCTCGTCTAACATTAACTGCAATCGTTTGATTGTTATTTTCAGATCATCCAATGAAGATAACAGTTCTTTACGTTCAATTTTTGTTCGTGTTCGATTTCGTTTTCCTGATTAAAGCAATAGCTTCAGGTACCAATCCAGTATTATTAAGATGTCTTCGGCAACAAGTACTACCCTCTTGAATTATAATGTTATGCGCGAGTAATGCCTCACATCGGATGCGTTCATTAAGGGAACACCATGAAGATCTGGTGCAGCTATAGTAATTGTTGCACACACAACAACGACTTCTCGAAGATGCCAATCGAAAAAATGGCAGCTCAATAATAGTATCCTTATAAGATGCTGCATTCTCATCACACGCCATCGAATCAAGAGTATGTACTTTCACTGAAGAAACACTACCACACTCAGCTGTTATCATTGTTTCAGTTACGATTGTAGATGAGTCGAAACAGTTAACTGTATCAGTTTGCACAGCTATGCTCACCTTTTCTGCAACTTTTATTGCTTCATTATCAGTCAAACTTGATTGATATGCATGATAAATACGCATAAAGTAGGTTTGATCGACAAAGAGCTTCAGAAGTTCTTGTTCAAAACTAAACTTGAACCACTCTTTGGATACGTCAACTGAATGAGTACGCTGTCCTTTTTTAAAATTTTTACCACAACATATAGAACTTTTCGAAGAATTAAT